AAGAGGGAAAAGCGATAAATTTGGCTATCTTAAAGTTTAGAAACAAATACAAAAAAACCTTTAGTAACACTTAAGCAAAATGAAAACACCATCCCCAGACTGTGAGAAGATATTTAAAATGCATGAAACCAATAAAAGGTAAATATTTATAATACTAAAAAAGAAAACTGGTACAAATCAATAGGGAAAGTATAAACAACCTAATAGAAAAATTAAGCTAATTTTGTGAGTAGGCATTTCACAAAAAGAAATCCAATGACCAGTAAACACAAAAAGCCGCTTTCTAAGACATATCAGAGGTGCAAATTAAAAGAAACTATTTTATACCCAGTAATTGGCAAGAGTATTAAAAGTCTGTTGACAAAGATGCAGAAAAATAGGAACTTACATTATGTATAGAGAAACCCTAAATCCGTGTTTTTAAATGCTCTTTAGAGGGTCAGAGAAGTGTCTGTCCCTAAAGTCCCACTCTCCCCCCAGTCTTAGCTCTCCTCCCTGGGCCGTACTTGAATCTTCAAATGACTTTTGTTGCCCAGTGTCATTTTCACTACCATTATTTTCGCTGTGGGGTTGTTTCTTAATCTTAGTTTATATATCTGTGTTAGTCCCAGTTCTTACCTCTTATCCTTCATGGTTTTCTGTTCGTAATCTCTCATAGACCTGGAAATGTGATAAATAGCTTATTAGAAGTTTGTACATAACAAGTAAAGAGGTCTAAAATTAGCCCTAATAATCTCTTCTGGAGTATTGGTGGGAAGGTACATATACTTTGATCATATCTATTTTATTACAGGCCTTCAGAGGCATTTTTGTTTTCTTTTTGATTCTGGGATCTTTTTCCTATTAGGCAGAGTTGCAAAATAGAGGAGGTATAATGAACTTGATTTTAGTCTGTGCATTTAATCTGCCATTGTTTGTATATAAACTAACTTCAGGGCCTTCTGGTATATTCTAATTTGCCTCATTAAATATAAAATAGTTGGAGTAAAGAAGTTGAAGGTTGGCTTATGAATCGGTGTAAGAATGTCTCTTTATTAGAGAAGTTGAATAATTCGTAACGACCTATTTTAGCCAGTAAATAAATTTTTTTTTTAAAAAAAAAAGCTTTATAGAGATACAATTCCTATACCATACCGTTAACCTATTTAGAGTGTACAGTTCAGTGGCTTTTAGTACATTTACAGGTATGGATCCATCACCACAATTTTAGAACATTTTTATTACTCCCAGAAGAAACTCTACACCCCTTTGCCATTACCTCCCAGATCCCCCAGCCCTAGGCAGCCACTAATCTACTTTCTCTGTAGATTTGCCTATTATAGACATTTAATGTAAATGGAATCATACAATATATGAAAATTTGTGACTGCTTGCTTTCATTTAATACAGTAGTCCCCCATTACCTATAGTTTCAATTACCTGAGGTTAGCCAGTGTCTGAAAATATTAAATGGAAAAGTCCAGAAATAAACCATTCATAAGTTTTAAATTGTACACCATTCTGAGTAGTAAGATGTAATCTTGCTGTCCTGCTCTGTCTCTCCCAAGATGTGACTCATCCATTTGTCCAGAGTCTCCCTGGTGTATATGATCCTCACTCTTAGTTACTTAGTAGCCATCTCAGTTAACAGATCGACTGTGCACTATTGCAGTGCTTGTGTTCAAGTAACCCTTATTTTACTTCACAATGGCCTCAAAGCACAGAGTAGTTATGCTGGCCTTCAGATATGCCACAGAGAAGCAATAAAGTGCTTCTGTTAAGCGAAAAGCTAAAAGTTCCTGACTTAATAAGTAAGGAAAGAAAGAAAATCGTGTGCTGAGGTCTCTTAAGTTCCACAGTAAGAATGAATCTTCCATCCGTGAAATTATGAAGAAGGAAAGAGAAAGCTGTGCTAGTTTTGTTGTTGCACCTCAAACTGCAAAATTTATGGTCCCAGTGATAAGTGCTTAATTGAGATGGAAAAGATATTAAATTTGTGGGAGGAGGACATAAAAGAAAAAATGTTCTGATCGATGGCAAAGTGTTGTGCCAGAAAGCATTGAGCCTACATAAAGACTTCTGCAGGGAATCCCCTGAAATGAGTAACCACTAACTTTATTCTTACAGTATATCATTATCATTGTTCTATGTATTGTTAAATCTATTACTGAGCCTCATTTATAAATTAAACTTTATCATAGTTTTATATGTATAGAAAAAAACAATGATTATAGGGTTCAGTACTCTGGTGGCTTCAGGCATCCACTGAGAGTCTTAGAACTTAAACCCCATGGGTAAAGGGGGACTGCTGCATAGTGTTTTTAACGTTTGTAGCATGTATCAATACTTCATTTCTTATTGCTGAATAATATTCCATTGAACAGATATGCTACATTTTATTTATCCATCCATCAGTTAATGGATATTTGGGTGGTTTCCACTTTTTGGCTGTTGTAAACAATGCTGCCTTGAACAGGTCAGGTGTAAACATAAGTTTTCATTTCTCTTAAGTGAATATCTAAGAATGGAATTGCTGTACCCTATGGTAATTCTATTTTTGACTTACGGAAGATCTGCCAGACTCTTTTCCACAGTGGGTGCACCATTTTACATTCGCACCAACAATGTTGAGAGCTCCAATTTCTCCATGTCCTTAGAAAACTTGCTGTTACCTGTCTTTTTAATTTAGCCATCCTAGTAAGTGTAAAGTGGTATCTCATTGTGGCTTTAGCTTTATGATTTTATAAGGTACATTTTAGGTTTTGTTTCCCCAGATTTTCTTTTAATACACAAGGAATGGTACTTTTTAAATTGGTGATAGAATTGGGCCTCAGGACCCCTTTACAAATTAAAAATTATTGAGAACCTCGAGTGAAAAAAAACTTTGTGATAGAATCTTTTTTTAATTGTTGATTTAATTTTTCTAACAGGCTAAAGAAATTTTAACAAAAGAATCAAATGTGCAAGAGGTTCGCTGTCCTGTTACCGTCTGTGGAGATGTGCACGGTCAATTCCATGATCTTATGGAACTCTTTAGAATTGGAGGAAAATCACCAGATACAAACTATCTATTCATGGGTGACTATGTAGACAGAGGTTATTATTCAGTGGAGACTGTGACTCTTCTTGTGGCATTAAAGGTATGATTAGTGAAATTCACTTTCCTTTTTTTTAAGTTTTAAACCAACAAAGGGCAAAATGGCATTATTATATATCATCTGTTCTATTTAATGATCCATTCAGTTTATAACCCCTTAAAATAATAGTTGATTTTGCATCTTTTTAGAGACAGATGAGAGGTTGGGGGAAAGAGAGAGTTGAGAATACTACATTAAAACTCTCCTGTCTACTTCTGGTAAATCATTCTCTTGGGGGAATACATAGCCGAAGCCTTGGAATCATTTTTGATTTAGTCACTTATCCCTCATATTTAGTCAATTAACAAGTCTCTTTTAAAAAACAAGATCTTTTAAAATTCTTACCTTGAAGAGTCTGTTATTCTTGTGTCTGTTTTTACTATCCCTACCCAATCCGAATTATTATCACTTCACACTTTGGTTATTGCAATAGCATGGTAACTAATATTTCTGCCTCCAAGATCAGACCCCTCCAGATCAGCTTGCACCTTGCATATGTTGCCAGATTAAATTTCTTTAACACTTTTATCTTGTTAATTCTCCGCTCCCAAATTCTTCAGTGATTTCATGTTGCCCATAAACATGTTGCCAAGCGCAAACTCCTTGGCTGGCCCTCTTATAGTCTAGCCTGAATTTGCCCGCCAGTGGTTGGTAGCATAAACACTTTGCCTCAAATCAAAGAATTTCAGTACTCAGTCTCTCTCCATATATTTTCTTATCTAATTTCTCAACAGGATTGCTCTGTGATTTCTTACCCCTTCTGCCAAGATGCAGCTCGAGTTCTTCAATGAAGTCCAACCATTTTAAGCCTTATTCCTTCTATTCTAAATTACCATGAAACTTATTATCCCACCTCTTATTTATGTTACATAGTAGTTTATTGCCTTGTATTATTTCACATACCTCTTTAGTGAGATTAGTCCCTAAAGAGTAGAATTCATGTATTATCTTGTGTAGACCTCACCTAGCTTTAAGCACTGAGTTCATTGTTGAACATAATAATGGATACTTAGTGAATATGTATGAATTGAAGTATGTATTTGCACCTTTTAATCAATTTGGTTTACAGAAAACAATACATTTTGTAACTTCTTATCTGACATATTCCTAACTAAATTCTATGCTATAAGGTATGTCTCTGTATTTTGTTATGGAAAAGGGACGTTTAATACATTTGAAGTCTTGCTTAGATTTGGCAAGGGCCTTTTTTTGTGGTTTTGTTGGTAAACACAATCTTCCCCTGGAAAGTAAAAATCAAAAAGGGACAGAGATGTTAGTCTGTAGAGGAGTTTGTCTTAGGTCCAAATTTCTGATCTTCAGTAATGAGAAGTTGTTGTGTTCAGGGAATATTTAGAAGACTGGTGATAGTTTGAAGATGAAGATATTTGAGACTAAAAATCAGATACAAGTTTATTATAGTATTATAGGTATCAGTTAAGAAGTATTTCAATGAGGATTGTATAAATAGTAATGTAAGATAACTATAAAAACATTTTAAAGTTTAACCAGTAGGACCTAGTTATGAATGAGAACATTTTTACTCAGAAAAAGATTTAACATTTAACTTACTAGCAGACAAAAGAGCCATTTAAAATGGGTCAGAGGTTAACGTGGTTAACATGTCACTAGTAAAAATATAGTTTGTACCATAGATTTCTTCTGCTTATCCTCCAGGTGCGTTATCCGGAACGCATTACAATATTGAGAGGAAACCATGAAAGCCGACAAATTACCCAAGTATATGGCTTTTATGATGAATGTCTACGGAAGTATGGAAATGCCAATGTTTGGAAATATTTTACAGATCTATTTGATTATCTTCCTCTTACAGCTTTAGTAGATGGACAGGTATGTATGTGTGTGCTTACATGGTGGGGTATGGGTTTGCGATGGGATGGAAGTAGGAAAATACTTTCTCCTAGTAATTTAGGGTCTAGATTTATGACATGTGTTTCTTCACTTCCTTGGCCTTTTCTGCCTCTTTTTCTTATACTTAAGATTTCAAAACAGGGGATTGAATCAGTTTTATGCACATTGAGACCAGCAAATGTTCATGTTGTTCTCAGGTATGTATTAAATCTTTTGACCAAAGAATATGCGGCTATCTTCATTTATATACATAGTATCTGCTGGTTACCATTATAATTTTTTATTCTCATTTTCCTGGTAATTTCAAGTGGTAATATCTTGTATTACACCATCTTTACTAATAAGTGAATGTTTTGTTTCCGCCTGTAACAAGTATTACAAATATACTATAAAAAGTATGTAAAAATTAAAAAATTCAAAACTGTAAAAAAAATTTACAGATTTCCTATTATCTCAGTTTACAGACATAATCTCCGTAAGCAAGAACTGATTTTAATTTAAATATAAAACTTACTATATAACTACAATTCTTAAACTGTAAAAGTCCAGAGTTGTCGGTCAGAATCATGGTGGAGTGAGAGATGTCCCCAGATCTCTCCCCTTGAAATAACAGTAATCTGAACAAAACATTGTAGTAGGGTAGCTAAATACCCCATTAAAAATACAATAAAATTTCTAGGTAAAAATCAGTGTTCAAAAATCCAGAGCATTCCTTTACTCTAATAATGAATTGTCAGAAAAAGAAGTGGAAGAAATAATTCCTTTTATAATTGCAACAAAAAGAATAAAATACCTAGGAATAAATCTAATGAAACATGTGAAGGACCTATATAATGAAAACTATAAGACCCTATTAAAAGAAATTGAAGAAGATACAAAGAAATGGAAAGATATTCTGGTTCTTGGATTGGAAGAATCAATTGTTAAATTGGCCTTATTACCTAAAGCATTATACAGATTTAATGCAATCCTCATCAGAATCCCACTGGATTTTTAAAGATAGAGCAAAAATCATCAGATTTGTATGGAAGCACAAATCACCCTGAATCGCCAAAGCCACCCTGAGAAAAAAGAGCAAGGCTGGACTTCAGATTATACTACAAATAATCAAAACAGCATGATATTGGCAGAAAAACAGACACACAGACTAATGGAACAGAACTGAGAGTTTAAAAGTAAACTTATGTTTATATGGGCAAATAATTTTTGATAGAGGAGCCAAAAGCATATAGTGGAGAAAGGAAAGCCTGTTCAGTAAATGGTGCTGGGAAAACTGGAAAGCCACCTGCAAAAAAATGAAACGAAACTTTCACCACATACCAAAATTAACTCAAATGGATTAAGGACCTGAATACAAGATTGGAAACAATAAGTTGCATAGGAGAAAACATAGGAACTAAACTCATGGACTTTGAACTTAAAGAGGATTTTATAACTTTGACCTCAAAAGCAAGGGAAGTAAAAGCAAAAATAAATGCATGAGACTATATCAAACTAAAAAGCTCCTGCACAGCAAAAGAAGCCATCAACAAGGTAAAGAGACAACCATCCGCATGGGAAAATATGTTTGCAAGCAATGCCTCTAATAAGGGCCTAATAGCCAAAATATACAAAGAACTCATGACTCAATAACAAAGAAACGATCCAATCACAAAATGGGCAGAGGACCTGAGCAGATACTTCTCCCAAGAAGACATACAAATGGCCAACAAACATATGAAAGGATGCTCAGCATCACTGGGGAAATGCAAATCCAAACCAAAATGAGATATTTTCTCACCCCTGTTAGAATATCTGTTATCAACAGGACAATAACAATTATTGGAGAGGATGCGAAGAAAAAGGACCCCTCATACACTGCTGGTGGGACTGCAAATTGGTACAGTGTTGAGATTCCTCAAAAAACTAAGAATTGATCTACTATATGATCCAGCAATCCCTCTACTGGGTATTTACCCCAAATACTTGAAAACTCATATCCAAAAAGATATTTGCACATTGATGTTCATAGCAGCATTATTCATGGTGGCCAGGACATGGGAAGCAACTGAAGTGTCCTACAATAGGTGATTGGATAAAGAAGCTGTGATACATATATACAATAGAATGTTACTCAGCTGTAGAAGGGATGAAATACTGCCATTTGTGACATGGATGGACCTTGAGATAATCATGCTAAGCGAAATAAGCCAGAAAGAAAAAGGTGAAAACCACATGGTGTATCACTTATATATGGGATATAAACCTAAAAACAACAAACAAACATGAGAAACAAATAGACTCATGGACATGGACAATAGACTAGTGGTTACCAGAGGGGAAGGGGAAGGGGGAGGTTAGATGGGGTAAAAGGGATCAAATATGTAGTGACAGAAATCTATGGGCAATGAACATACAATGCAAAGTATATATGACTTACTGTTGAATTGTACACTTGTAACTTACTGGATTTCGTTAACCAGTGTCACCATAAAAAAAAAAAAAAAAGTCCAGATTTGTCAAGGATGTAATAAGATCCTCTCTTGGATTCCTGGTGGGAATTTTGTTATGACTTTTCCTGTGTGATCCTGATAGTCCACGTTTATGAGCCATGATTTTGGACTGCAGTAATTAATTTAAAAGGACAGTATTTTTCCTAGGCATACTAAAATAGAAAACAATGTGAATTAAAGGGTGTTAATTTTTAATTAGAGTTTTTTAATTTTAAAAAAATCAATATTTATCAACATGACAGTTAATGGACAAAATTATTTTAGAAGGACAGTCTCTCTACCTTGATGGTGAATCTTGTTTTTTAAATGAATTCATTAGTAGAGTCTTTATTTATTGAATATGTTCAAGTTAAATTATATATACTTGCCCTCAACCTCTTACCTTCAACAGGCCATTGATATTTCCTGTCATGGTACCATTAAGGAGCAAAATAGCCAGTACCACACACCATTAGTGACAGGTTATTATTTATAAAATGTTATAGATAGCTTTTATATACCTCAGAAGTCAAGTAGATAAAAATTAAATAAGTATTATATCAGAACAGTGGGACAGCTTACCTAACATACAGAGAGTATATAGCCTTTGGTATATTAAGTACCCAATAAACAGAAACCAGATCATCTTTCCACATATCCATTCCTTCCTATTCATTCCTTCCTTCCTCCCTTCCCTTCTTTCTTCTCCCTCTCTCCACCCTCCCCCTTCCACCCTCCCCCTCTCCTTTCCATTCTCTCCCTCTTTCCTTTCTTTCCTTCCTTTTTTCCCCGACTTTATTCCCTTCCATTTATTTATTTATCCATCCGTCTATTTTTATATCGTGTTAAGTGACAGTCTCTAAGTAATAGGAGAAAACTCAGACTAGAAATTAAATAGAAAAGGGTAAAAGAAAGATCTGATTGCTTGGCAACCATTACAACTTCTACCATTCAGAAAATAAAAGATGAGAATACACATCATTTCTTAAAGACAGTGGAAGTATTGTGTAGACCAAAACATTTAGATGTAAACAAAGGGTGAAATATAAGGAAGTGCATATTCTTAAATTTTGTTTTGTAGAAAAATAGAAAGGAGATAATGTTATATAAACATTTAGCCAAAGAATGAAACAGTAAAATAAAGGAATCATTAAATATAAAAACGAGAAAAGGATAAAGAAAATACAGATTTGATTGATATGGCCAAAAGTAAATTTTGAAAAGTCTACTAAAAAATTTATAATAGTCAAAACTGATCTAGGTAAAAAGGGAAATCAGGTCACATAAAACACTAGGAATGTGAAATAACATTGTTATAAATATGGAGGCACTTATATACCACAGTAACAGGTGCAGGTTTCTAATAAACTTGAAAAGATGGATGAAATTTATATAGTAAAATATTTAAATAGTAAAATATTAATTATTAAAAATTGTTTTTGAAGAAGCTGGATCAACGTACATAGACTACTAGACTTAGTAGGAATAAGAAAAATAACCAGGTCTAGATAATTTTATAGACATTCTACCAAACCTTTAAGGAACATACATCATTTCTGTGTTCCAGAGCTAAGACTTTGTACAGCTAGAATAACCCCGATACCAAACTAGACGTGGCCAGCACAGACGAAATCAGACCAAAACATTTGAAAAAAGTCCTGTATCATTCATTATATAAAATTCCGTTTTTTTAAGGAGTGAACTAAAATAACGTTAATTGGATAAAGAAATGCTGACTCTACTTATCAGCAAAACATCAGAAACCTCATCAACATCAGAAAAGTGCCCTCTAAAACTTGTATTATTCTTTCTTATTCACAATCTCTAGAAGATGAGTGTGGAAATAGGTGTTTTACCAAAAAATGAAAACAACCAAAAAAGCCCCACTAACGTATTTTTCGGTTTTGTTTTGGAAGTTCGAGCCAGTGCAACTGAGCAATAAAAATAATTAAAAGATATGAGCATTGAGAAGAAAAAACAAATATTTTTGCAAATGGGATTATGTACTCAAAAAAATCCAAGCAAACAAAAACTACTGGAAACAATATCGAAATCAGTAGGAGAAAAAAAATTTATGTATCAACCACAACCAATAAAATGATAGGTTACAAGGATAGAGATCTCATTCACCAGAGAAAAGGTAAACACTATAAAAAATACATGGGATTATAAAGAAAACAGACAAAAAAATACATCTAAACATTATATAAGCTCTCTGATGTGGTTTTTGTTTTCCTTTTCATTGTATTCTATAAATTCTCCTCAGTCAGTTTTTAAACTGTATTTTGAAAAGCTATTAGGATTGACATTTGTAATTATTATTTACCTTCTATTAATAATTCATTTTCTTTTTAAATTTGTAAACAGATATTTTGCCTCCATGGTGGCCTCTCTCCATCCATAGATACACTGGATCATATAAGAGCCCTGGATCGTTTGCAGGAAGTTCCACATGAGGTAAACGTAGTTTTAATTAAAAGAAAAATTATAACAACTTTGTGGTAAATCTAAATTAGTTAAATATGACTGCTAATAATATATAACATGTACCTGATTTTTTTGGCCAGGGCCCAATGTGTGATCTTTTATGGTCAGATCCAGATGATCGTGGTGGGTGGGGTATTTCACCACGCGGTGCTGGCTACACATTTGGACAAGACATTTCTGAAACATTTAACCATGCCAATGGTCTCACACTGGTTTCTCGTGCTCACCAACTTGTAATGGAGGTAGGTCCTTTTCCTACAAGATGATGATCTTTATTTCAAATAAATACATATGTCTATAATAAAGCCTTCATGACTTAGAATTTCAGAATCATTCCTCACCATTACCTAAGTGAAAGGAAAACTCGGCTGGTTTTAGCAAATAGGGAAAGTACTAGTTGGCTAGAGCAAAATTATAACTCACTTTTGAAGTTAATTTAGACTTAGAGAAAAGTTGCAAAAATAGTACCAAAAAAACTCCCTTGTAGCCTACAGTCAGATTCCTCAAGTATAAGTATTTCAATATTTGCTTTGTCATTATCTCTCCCTTCCTGTCCCCCTTCCCCCACACATTACTTTCTTTTGAACTGTTTAAATGTCCATTGTAGATATGTTCCTTTACCCCCAAATTTCATGTGAATTTTATAAATATAAGAACTTAACTTTTATGCAGCCACAGTGTAGTATCACAGTCAGGAAATTTGCATTGATGTAGTACTATTATCTAAACACTTTATTCAGATTCAGATTTCGATTATCTCACTAATGCCCTTTATGGCAAAATTTAATTGAATGTGTATAATCTAATCCAGGATCATGCTGCATTCATTCTCCTTTGATATGGAAATAATTCCTCCGATTTTCTTTGTTTTGCATAATCTTGACATTTTTTAAGTGTGTAAGCAATTTTATTTTGTAGAAACATCCTTCCTTAATGGTTTTTTGTTTCCTTATGATAATAGATTCAGGATATGCATTTTTGGCAGGCATACCACATAATGATGATGTGTCTTTTTCAGTGCATCATATCAGAGATCATAAAATTTATTTATCCTACTGCTGGTGGCTTTAACGTGGATCAGTTAGTTAAGGTAGTGCCTGTTAGATTTCTCCACTGCGATGCAACTATTTTGTAAATACTAAGGAAATATAAGTAGAATATAATCCTTCTAAACTAGTTTAGAGTGGCTTCAAAATGTTAGGGAAAACTTCACAAACCTAGTAGAGGCAAGAGGAGGGGTGAGAACATAATAAATAAAGAACATAAATTCTTACAGTAAAGATAAATCTAATTATATCGGTAATCATAAGAAACATTAAATGGATGAAAATGTTTACTTCCTTAAAAGACAGAGACTCTAAGACAATCAAAATTCAACTGTTTTGGGGGAGATGTATCTTAAACATAATGACATTACAGAATAGAAGTAGAGGGATGGAAAGTGATGATCAATTAGATAATTAACCCAAATACAGCTAATAATATGAATTAGAATAGGCTCTAAGACAAAAAGTATAATTCGAAATATAAAAAGGTCATTACTGATGAAAACTGGCCCAGTTCTCTGGGAGGCAATAATTCTAAATTTGTACTTAACCTAATAATAGATTTAAAATATATAAAGTAAAAATTGATGACACAATTTACAGGGAAAAAACTGAGAAATCTACTGTCATGGTGGGAGAAATTTGAGTACACATCCTACCCACAATCTCAAGCATTGATTAAGCTGAAACAAAGCAGTTACTGAGCTTAATGTAATAAAATGTTGTGCCCTACAGTTAAGTATTCAGTGCAGGTGTACGATGTTAAAGATAGATACTGTGTAAGGTAACTTAGAAGACTGAATTTCCCCAAAATATACTTATAATTTTTAAGTTTAGTTTTCTAAACTTCTCTGTGTTAAAATTACAATTTTATACTGAAGTACTGATTTTTTTTAATGCTGCAGGGATACAATTGGTGTCATGATCGGAATGTGGTAACCATTTTCAGTGCACCCAATTACTGTTATCGTTGTGGGAACCAGGCTGCTATCATGGAATTAGATGACACTTTAAAATATTCCTTGTAAGTAACTTTAAACTTAAATTGTATGCGATGACTTTTAGAAGGAAAATTTAAAATGTAGATTATTAAAATGAGAAATAGAGCATTTCTGCTTCTAGAATAATAGAAAGAGGAATGTGGCAAACCCTCTCCCCAACAAAAATAACTGGAGAAAATTATTTTAAACAAGTATTTCAAGTTTTTTGAAATAGTGCTAAGTATATATACAGCAAATAGAAATATATATATTTTAGAGAATCTATTAAATCTTAGTAATAACAGCCAGACTCCGTGGAATTTGATCCACAATGTACTCCCTCCCTCTAGTCCTAGATCCCTTGTATGGAAACTACTCCAGGTACTGTACTCTGGGTGAGTGTGGACAAGAAGGTAGGGCTTTTCTCCTTCCCAGTCTAGGGCTATGGTGTCACCCCCAGGGGTTCAGGTGCTAGCATATTTCAAGCAGGCTGAGATTATCTTCCCTTAACTAGCTCCTAGGGTGGAAGGTTCACTCTTGGCGTGCATGTCAACCAGAGAATGCTGGGTTCACAGTGTTCTTGCCCCAGTGTCTGCTCATAGAATGGGGTGTCACTAAGAAGTGAGTAAAGGTGGTCAAAATTACAAATTTCTAGTTATAAAATAACTCATGGGGATGTATAATGTTCAACATGGCGATTATAGTTAATAATACTGTATTGTATATTTGAAAGTTGCTGAGAGAATCGATCTTAACAGTTCTCATCACAAGAGAAAAATTTATAACTATGTATGGTGATGGATATTAATTAGAAATACTGTGCTGATTGTTTTGCAGTGTATACATTTATCAAATCATGTTGTACACCTGAAAATAATATATGTCAATTTTATCTCAGAAAGAAAACAAGTTGCAGGACCTAGCTCACACTAGCTCAGCAAAAAGAAAAATAAATTAAAATAATGGGGAAAAATAATTGGTCCACCAAACCAACCCACCACAGCTCCAGAGCTGTGGCATAGAAGTTTCACTCATGGTGAGAGGCAGAACAAAAAGTTTTTCAGCTCTGCCTGAGGGGACTGATATTACTTAGAGGGTGGAGAATTCCAAGCCTAAGTATTTTGTTGAAAACAATGGGTATCATGGTAGAGACCAATTAAGAGGGCTCTCATAGCTCCCATGATACTAGTAGCAACAAGCAAAAGATCAGAGCAAGGAGAATTTTAACAGATAAAGACAATGAAGAAAAATGAGTAGAGCCTCAAGAAATGTTGGACACCTTTAAGGATACTGATGTAAGTGTAATGGGAGTTCCAGAAGGAAAGGAGAGAGAGAAGGAGACAGAGTATTTGAAGAAATCATGGCTGAAAACGTCTCAGATTTGATGGTAAACATTAATTTGCACACCCAAGAAGCTCCATAAACTCTTAACTTATATAAATTCAAAGATATCCATATCCAGACACATCATGGTCAAGATGCTAAAAGAAGAAACCTTCAAAGCAGTAAGAGAAAACTGACTTACAAAAGGGAACTTGAATAAGATAAGCTGACATCAGAAAGGCATTGGAACAGAATATTCATTCAAAGTGCTGAAAATAGAAAACTCAACCAAGAATCTTACATCCAGCAAAACTTGAAAATGAATGCGAAAGAACGATGTCCTCATTAAAAAATTGAGAAAATTGAATGCTAGCAGACCTTCCATAGAAGAAATAATAGAGACTGACTACTTTAGGCTGCAAGCAAATAACATAAGAAAGTAAATCAACTGAGCTTGCACGTGTGAGCACACAGTGGTAATTGTAAAAGAGTACAACTGCATCATCTTAACTGATTTAAAAACCAGTTGCATAACACAGTATGTATATATTAGTAGTATAGTTGAACTTAAAGGAAATGTAATAAATAGAGATGTAGTATATTTGACAGTAACAGAACAGAGGAGGTGGGTGGGAAATGAAGTAAGGAAGTGACACCAGATGGTAACTTGAATCCTAAGGAAGAATATGAAGAAAATAAAAAGGTTAATATAGCAAAATCTATAAATATATATTTGGTCTCCTTTCTCAGCTTTTTTAAGGTCATGAGGTTATGTAAAGTAATTACGATGATTATAATTTTAGGTTTTTAACTCAGATATGTATATAACATCAATAGCAAAAGAAGGATGGAGAATGGAAAGGAGTTAAACTTATATTGGAGTAAATTTCTATAATGCACTAGAATTAAGTTAGTATAAATCAGAAATAGAATTTCATGTTGTGTATTGTAAGCTTTAGAGCAACCAATAATAAAATAATTGTAAAGTTATTAAAAGAGTTTAAATGGTGCAATGGACAATATCCCTTTAACAAAAGAAAGCAGTTAAAGCAGGACAGATATTTTTTTAAATGGCAGGTTTAAATTCACTTATATCCATAATATTAAATGTGAGTGGTTTAAGCAACAAAGTCAAAAGGCAGATATTATCAGATTGCATTTTTTTAAATGTATAGTTTTATAATATCTACAGGAAACATAATTTAGGTTCAAAAATACAAATAGGTTAAAAGTAAAATGGTGAAAAAAGATATACCATACAAGCAGCAACCACAAGAGTACTGACTGGACTGGATGCACTAATATCAGAATAGATTTCAAAACTGCTACTAGGCATAAAGAACATTTCATAATGATAAATGAGCCACACCGTTAGGACGATATATCAATTACGAATATATGCACTTAACAACAGATCCCTAAAATATATGGAGTAAAACGAACAGAATTGAAGGGAGGCATAGACAGTTCAACAATAATAGTTGAAGACTTTATTGTGCCACTTTCAATAATAGAACTATGCAGAAGATTGGCAAAGCAATAGAAGACTTGAGGAACACTGTTAACTGTACCTAACATCTACAGAACACTGTAACCAACAACAGCAGAATAGAGTCTTCTCAAATACACATGGAACATTCTCCAGGATTGACTATATGCTGGGTAATAAACCAAGTCTAGATACATTTAAGAAGCTTGGATTTGCAAAGTATGTTCTACAGACACAATGTAGTAAAATTAGAAATCAACAGAAGGAAAATTTATAAATATCTGGAAGTTAACATTCCTCAGTAACCTGTGGGTCAAAGAAGAAATCACAAAGGAAGTAAGAAAATACTTAGAGATGAATGAAAGTAAAAACACAGTGTACCAAAACTTAGGAGATACAGCGAAAGCAGTGTTTTCAAGAAAATTTATAGTTGTAAATTTCTATATTAAAAATCAAGAAAAATCTCAGTAACCTAACTTTATACCTACTAGAAAAAGAAAAGCAAACTAAACCTAGTGCAAGCACTTGGAAGGAAAGTTTTGTGTGAAAATAAAATAGTAGAAAAACAATGAAGAAAATCAACATCCAAAAGTTGAAAAGCCTGAACTAAACTGGCTAAGAAAAAAGAGTGAAGACATGTTACCAAAATAACTACAGACCTTAGTGAAATAAAAAGAATTGTGAGGGGATATAGTGAATAACTATATGGCAACATATAGTTATTAGGTAACTTGAATGAAATGGAAAAATTCCTAAAAAGACAAAAATTACCACAACTGACTCAATTAGAAATAGAATATCTGAGGACCTGTAGCAAGTGAAGAAATTGAATTCGTAATTTTAAAACTTACCCACAAAGAAAAGCCCAGGCCCAGTTGGCTTCTCTGGTGAATTGACCAAATGTTTAAAAAGGAATTGATACCAGTCCTTTCACAAATACCTGCAAAATACAGAAGAGAGATTACTTCCCAGTTCATTCTTTGAGGCCTGTATACTACAGACCAATACTCTTAATGTATATAGTTGCAAACAGCTGCAACAACATATTAGCAAACCAAATTCAGCAATGTATAAAAAGGATGATACACCGTGGTCAAGTGGGATTTATCCCAGGAATGCAAAGTTGGTTCAAAATATGAAAGTCAGTGTAGAAAACCATATTAATAGAATAAAGGGCACAAACAACATGATCATCTCAGTAAAGCAAGAAAAAGTGCTGTCACAATCCAACAACCTTTCATAATAAAAATACTCAACAAACTAGTCAAAGAAGGGGGAATGTCTTCAACCTGATAAAGAGCATCTATAAAAAAACTCATAGCTAACATCATTCTTAGTAATGAAAAACTGAACATTTTCCCTCTAAAATCTATACTAAAACAAGCATGTCTACTCTCATCACCTCCATTTAACTAATAATATTGTAAACCTTTTATGCCAGGCACTGAATCAGACATTTTATCTGCTTATTTTCACCATAGCTCTGCGAGGTAATTTCATGGAGAACACCTACAATGACTTGTCCAGAGTCATTCCAATCAACATTGATTTGCTTGCTTGCAAATTCAAATCCTTTAACTATTTGGGTTTTGTTTTTGTTTTGTTTTTGCTATATATAGCCTTCAGTTTGACCCAGCACCTCGTCGTGGAGAGCCTCATGTTACCCGGCGCACCCCAGACTACTTCCTGTAAATTCCTCCAAGGAAAACCTGCCTTTGTATGTGGAAGTATACCTGGCTTTTTAAATATATATTTAGAAACAAAACAAAAAGCAACAGTAATCTGTGTGTTTCTGTAACAAAATGAGATCTATCTTGGCATTAAACTGTATCATGGACCAAAATGTGCCATACTAATGACAAGCATTTAGCACAATTTGAAACTGTACAACACTATGTTCTAGATCAGTCAGTCTTAACAGTTTGCCTGCTGTGTTTGTAGTAACCATTTTCCTCTGGACTATTCAAGCAAAAAAGGTAACTAACTCCTTCATCTCTTTTTTGCACTTATTTGGAAATTTTAGTTATAGTGTTTAACTGGCATGGATTAATAGAGTTGGAGTTTTATTTTTAAGAAAAATTCACAAGCTCATTTTCACTTAATCCATTACCTTTTATTTTATTGAAATGTATAACTGAAGGAAAGATTCTTCTTGGGAGTATGTTGTCATAACATTTAAACTAAATTACTGTTTTATGTTGATCTGCATATTTCTGTATATTTGTCATGACAATGCTTGCATTCTGTTTGGTGTACTGAGCAAATAAACTTTTCATTTTAAACAAAAATGTTGATTTACTGTGGTACACTTGAAAGTTTTACTGTTTTAAAACGATATAAAATCTCTTGACTTGTAATAAACAATTGTGTTGAGGTTATTTAAATTAATGTTCTTTGTATAGGGCTTATTTTCTTAAGAAAATAATTCAAATAGTACCTGTTAACTTTTAGACCATTAAAAAAGCCATTCTTATTTCTAAACATCATTTCATTAGGTAATTCGTATTAATGTATTCATGTTAACTAGAATTGTATGCTAAAACTAGAGTTATATAGCTGGGAAGAATCTTTTAAAAACACAAATAGATGTCATTTTATCTTTATCTTTTGATCTAGAAATGAGAATAAATTAATATCTGACAGTTTAATAGGAATAGTACTATTCAAATATATGTATAATATAAATTCCAAATAGTAGATAAGAAAATACAGTATCAGTGTGGGGAGTAAAGGTAGAGTGGAAGACATGAGAGAAAACTAAAATTTTTAAGTCTGTCTTTACATAAGAAAATGAGATGGTAGAAATAAGTATAAATATCTCAAAATTATAGTAAATATAAATGGACTGAATTCTCTAGTTAAAAGAGAAAGGGTCAGATTTAATTAATTTATTTTTTATTTATTTTTTAAGCCCAGCTATACACTGATTACAAGACACACACCAAAAATAAAGTGATTTGGATAGGTTGAAAATAAAAAGACTAGGCCAAGAAGATACTAAACAAAGGAAACCTGGAGTAGTTTTATTATTATTAAAAGACTTTGGGACAAAATTTAAAAACAGGATCAATACAAATAAAGTTAGACTTAACTCACAATTTTAAACCCCTATGCATATACCAAAATAGCCTTCATATGTTAAAAACAATCCTTAGAAATGCAGAGGCAAGTTGACAAGTTTTCATTACAATGGCAGATTTCAACTTGCTTCTCTATTAAGTCAAAAGATGTAGAAGATTTAAATAATACATTCTAAGTAGATTGACCTAAAGAACATGTGTAGTTCTTTGTACCCTAACAACACACATTCTTGTCAAGTTTATATGTTGACATTTATTAAAATTTGCAATTATTAAGTCAAAAACTTTCAAAAAATTGATACACAACACCATATTCTCTGACTACAATGCATTTAATTTAGAGGTCAATAGCAAAACTAATTTTTAGAAATACCTATCTTGAAATTAACGAGGGTCAAAGATGAAATAAAGGAAATTTAAGTTATATAAAATAGAATTTAGAAAAACCGAATGGTTATTAAACTACGTATAAAAATGTGTGAACAAAACACCTAGAATAGCGAAATTTTGAAAAATAACAAAATACATTCACTTCCTTATGTCAAAATTTAATATACAACTAGTTTTCAAGATAGTATAGTACCGGTATAAACATAAACATACATCAATGGACAGAATTAAGAGCACAGAAGTAAATGCTTAATATTTATAATCCTCTTTCAAAGTGGCAATTTAGGTGAAAACACAGTGTAAGTATATATATGCTTTACTGTTAAAATGTACAACTGAAACTGGATTTCGTTAACCAGTGTCACCATAAAAAAAAAAGTGGCAATTCATTGAGGGAGGATTGTTCAACAAATGGTGTTAGGACAATTACATATCCACATGCAAAAGGATGAACTTAAGTGCTTACCTCCTACCATACAAAAACAGTCGCTAAAAAGGTCATAGACGTAAACATAAGAGCTAATACAAACTTTTACAAGAAAACAACCCCTTTGAGACCATGGATTAGGCAAAGATTTCTTAGATAATACCAAAAGAATGGTCTGTAAAATTTAAAAATTGATAAATTGAACTGCATTAAAATTTAAAACTTTTGTGCTTCGAAGGATAGAATTAAATGAAAAGAATATATTGCAAGAAAATATTTGCAAAACATCTGATAAAGGACTGTATCCAGACTTAAAAAAAAACTCATCAGTTGATAACCAAAAAAACATGGGCAGAAGATGGGAATAGATGTTTCACTAAAGACATACAAATGGCTGATAAGTACATGAAAAGATCAACATCGTTGGTCATTAAGGAAATATAAACTAAAAGCATAATTGAGATAATATTTCACACATATGAGAAAGGCTATAATAAATAAGCCCTTATTAACATGAATGTGGAGAAACGGGAGCTTTCATACATTGCTATCAAAAAGTGTAAAATGGTACAGCCTCTTTCGGAAACTGTTGGCAGCTTCTTAAATGTAACCTTATGATGCAACAATTCCACTCCTATATATCTACCCAAGAGAAATTCAAACACATGTTCACATAAAGACATGCATGCAAGTGTTTATAGCAACATTAATTATAATAGCAAAAAGGCGGAAACAACCTAACCGTTTAACAGCTGTAGAATAGATAAAATGTTATATTCATACAGTTGTAAACTACCATTAATAAAAAAGAATGAACTGAAACATATTACAACACAGATGAACTTCAAAGCATGCTAATGAAAGAAGCCAAACAGGAGAAACTGTTATTTGATTCCATTTATATGGAATGTCCAGAAAAGGGGAATTTATAGATGGAAATAGGTTAGTGGTTGCCTGGGGCTGACTTGGGGGGAATGGAATTGTAAATGGGCATTAGGGATCTCCCTGGAATGATGTTCTAAAACTTATGGCCACGGTTGCCCCATTTGGTAAATTTACCAAATATCTTTGAGTTGTACTCTTAAATTGGGAAAATTTTACGTGTAAAATATACCCTAGTGAAGCTGTTCAAAGAACAAAACTTGTGCAATGCAACCAAGCCAATCTTTAGAGGGAAATTTATAACTAATTGCTTGTTTTGTAACAGAAAAAGCTAGATGAGCAAATTGCTTACTATTTCATAAAAGTTAAAAGATTAAGAACAAATGACAAAATAAAAGATGGTACTTGAAAAGACTAATAAAAACATTTAGAAGGCACAAATAAAAGTGTGAATTAAGAAGATACTATGAATAACATTTGCCAGTAAATTTGAAAACAGAAGTAATGAGCAAATTACTAGGCTATTTTGACTTTACCAAGCTGACTCAAGAATAAATGGAGTCTAAATACTTGTTACTGCTAAAGAAGTTGATTCACTCATTTATATCTTAAAAAGAATATACTAGGTACCAATGTTCATGATAGGTTATTCACAATAGCCAAAAGGTTAGGAACAACCCAGATTTCCTTCAGCAGACTAAAGGATTAACAAAATGTGGTATATACATAAAATGGACTATTCAGCCATCAAAAGGAAGGAAATTATGATATATGCTACAACATGGGTGAAACTTGAAGATATGCTAAGTGCAGCAAACTAGACAAAAAGACAAATGTATATAATTTCACTTATATAAGGTACCCAGAATAGACAAATTCATAGAGACAGAAAATGGATTAGAGGTTACCAGGGGCTGGAAGGAGGGACAGGAGGGAATGGGGAGTTATATAATGGGTAGAGTTTGTCTGGGATGTTGAAAAAGTTCTGGAAATAGTGGTGATGGTTACACAACACTGTAAATATACTTAATGCCACTGAATTGTACACCTGGTAAATTTTATTACATGTATTTTTTACCACAAGTGAAAAAAAATTAGAATCAACTTCTTATATTCACACGGCAGGCAGGGAGGTGGGGGGCGCCAGCTGGAATTTTAAGCAGGGTTGTATTAAGTATCACTTTGGGGAGAAAAGAGTCTTCCAGTCCATGGAGATGGTGTATACCGCCTTTGAATCTTCCTTAACTTCCCTCAACAATGTATTATAATATTTGGTGTAGAAATCTTACCATCTAACTATATTTGATTTTAAATGTTGTAAATGATCCTTTTCCTCCAATTTTATTATCTAATTGTTTATTGATAGAGATAAAAGTGATTTTTAAAATATGCTTATATCCAGTAGCCATACTAAATACACTTAATTCTTATAATTATCAGACATTACTTTGTTTTTTTTTATTACACGATCATGTTGTTTCTGAATACAAAGCTTATTTCTTCCTAATCTTTATGATTTTTTTTTGTTTCATATTGCGTTAATTAAGACAACCAATATTTCATGTTATCTGTGGGGTTTTTGATGGTACTTATCCCCTATCACTGTTTCTTTTAGGCAGCATATAGTTGAGACTTTCATTTTTTAAATCCAGTCTAACACTCTATCTTTAACTGAGGATGTTAAGACCATTACATTTTTAATGTGATTATTGCTGTGATTAGTTTAACTGTCATCTTGCTATTTGTTTTCTATTTGTCTCATGCATTTTTTTTCTTAATTTTTTTCTTTTGGATTAATTGAATATTTTATATTCCATTTATCTCCTGATTGGCTTATTAACTATACCTCTTTGTTACTTCAGTGGTTGCTTTAGGATTTGTGGCACACATCTTTAACTTACAGTCTACTTTCAAGTAATATATTTAGTATAAGGACCTTGTAAGAGTATACTTTCTTTTATCCCCTCTCAAACTTTGTGCTACTGTTGTCATGTATTTGCTTTTTTACATTTATTAAAAATCCTCTATAGCATTTTATTTGAATGTTAGATTATTATTTAAAGGGATTTAAATAATAAGGAAAAAACATGTATTTACTCATGAGTATATATACTATTTCCAATGCTCTTCATGCTTTTGTATAGATTCGTATTTCCATCTGGTATAATTTTTCTTCTGCCTGAAAGACTTATTTGAATATTTCTTGTAGTACAAGTCTGCTGGTGATGAATTCCATGAGTAGAGGAGGATGGATTTTGCTTCTACTGCTTCTCCAGAAACAGTAGATCTTTGCCAGCATCCTGCGGCCATAGTATTTGGTGTACCACTGCCTGCGGGTTAAGACTTTGGCTCTGTAGGGGAGAAGGATCTCAAGAAACTAGTGGGGCTTTGAGCTTGTTCCTCCACAGCCACCATTCACCTCCTCCGAGGTCGCACCGAGGTCGGCTTTGTCTGGTCGTCTCCACCACTCTCCTCATGAACACCTGACGGAGGGTGATGGCGAAGAGCTCTCAGGTAAGTGGGAAATCCCTTTGTGTCTGAGGTTCCCAGTCAGGACTGGCTTCATGGCATGTGACCTGTGTAGTCACACACAGCCCCAGACATAGAAGGGGCTTGTGCTTGGTTTAACGCTGTGTTGTCACCATCTTGAATCCTTTTTTTAGCAAGGGTCCTGCATTTTCATTTTGCACTAAGACTCACAAATTAAATAGCCAGTCCTGTTACAAGCAATACAGTAGCCCACACTTGGCCTTTAAAATGTTAAAATCTTAGCTGAATTTTCCTTATCTGCTTGTATAGCAGCAGCCACCTTTTCGCCCAGAAAGAGAAGACTGTCCTGTCTCTCCTTGAAGCAGTTTATTCCTCTTTGTAATTCAGTTTCTGTGATTGCTTTGCAGCCTCCACCATCTGAGAGCTCTGAAGTGTTATTTTTTAATATCAACCAGCTGTTTCTCGTTGTTAGGGTAGGAGAAACATTCTTTGCTCTGCATCCTAAATGGAAGTTTAAAACCGCTGTGGGGTTTAGAACTTATTTTTAGGACCTTAATTTTAGCAAGCAGAACAATGAAACTGATAAGGGCTAGGTCCCCAACCCCACTCCCCTTTTAAAGGGGAATGCCACATTTACAGTTCCCTGCAGAAAAAGATGGTTTTATGTTTTTTTAAATTTTTTTCTCCCCATAACAAAATACCCCTTAGTGTCACTGTCCTTATAGTAGAACAACCTAAAATGACATATGTTTTGATAACAGGCAGTTATCGTATTGTTAAACTCAAATGAGCAGATTTCCCACATCAGTCCCTTACGGTGAGAGAGTGAGTTTACAAATAAATAGAAATGAATAGAAACGAAGAGTAATAAGATTAAGGGAAATTTTTCTAAAGATGTGCGGCTTGTGCACTAGAGGTATGTAGGTTATGTAGTACCTTCCTGAGCATTTGGACTGCATACAATTTAGAATATTCTTTAGTATGGTTATGATGTAGGTCTTTAAACTTTTCAGTTTCATTCATTCACTGAAGTGTATTACTAAAAACATTAATACACAGGCTAAGTTGAAATAGGATTCAAGTTAGTTTTCCCTGGGGCTTTTTTTTTAATCTAAAGCTATTTTAAATCAGCTTTCTTTAATCACTTGACAAATGTAAGTCTGCCCCTTTTTTATCTTAAGCCTGTTATCTTTTAACAGTTTATTATGGAAAATTACAAAAGTAGAAAGGAGTATCAAGGTACTTCAGTGTACCTTTTACTTTAATATTCACCTATATCCATAACTACTGTTTCCCCTCATTATTTTGAAGCAAATTTTGACCATAATTCCTCTCACATTGTAGTATGTTTCTTTAGAGATAAGGATTTTCTCTCCCTCTTTGCCTCCTCCTTTTTCTCCTAACCACAATACCATCATTAGACCTTGAAAAATAATTCCTTAGTCAAGTTTCTAGTTTTCCCAACTTATTGCAAGAAGAGTACAGTATAAAAGGATTGTTAGCCAAGAATCCATAGATTTAAGCCATCTGTAGTTCCTTTCCCTAAACTCAGGGGAGAAATTAGCTTTTGTGGCCAAGGAAACAAGCATCTCTATTTTTAGCCTTGATAGCATTTTTTCTGTGTATTAGAGAAAACTGTATTGCCACGCAAAGAGATGGCCCTAGTGATTTTTTTGTTAGAAATTAGGAGGTGGGGAAGAACCTTTATTCCACCAATTTTAGGAACTATTTGTTAATTACTGAAATGTTGGCTTTTTAAAAGATAATTTTTTTAATGGTAATCATTTTCTTTAGTCAATATCCTTGGAAATGGATGTGGATGGACGGCTGAAAATAGAGCCTATGAAAGTCAATGATCAGAACAGGTAAATATGGAAATGTTTCTTTTTCTTTTTGCATTTCTATTTGCACTTGAGTATTTTTAAAAATAATGGAAGCTTACTGGATCATACCTCTAGCACACAAGTCACATATCCTTATTTAGAGGAAGGAACTCTGATTAAGAGATAGCAACAGCTAGAGAAAGTGAAAGAACCTACCTGGAAAAGTAAAAGTCATTTTTTCTAAGGACATCTTAACATTGTTGAGAAATGCCCTGAATATTTCTTGTACTAGTTATCTATTGCCACAGAACAAACGTCCCCCAAAGTTATAGCTTAAAACATTATTACCTCCCACTGTTTCTGTGGGTCAGGAATCCTGGAGCAGCTTAGCTGGAGTGGTGCTGACTTCAAGGTCTCTCATTAGATTGCAGCCAAGGTGTTGGGCAGGCCTGCAGTCTGCATATGATTGAGGCTGGAGGATGAATTCCAAGCTCACTTAGGTACCTGTTGTCAAGATTCTGACAGTTCCGTGACACCTGTTACTCTCCACTCGGCTGCTAACAACATTGTTTCCATCAGAGTAATTGATAAGATGGAAAGGGGAGCAAAAAAATGGCAGTCCTTTATAATCTAATTGAAGAAGGGACATGTTTATAGTGAGTCCTTGAATAAGCTCATTTCATTATGACAGAAAAAAAGCTGGGGCCACTTCTTCTGTGGAGTTGGCACATTCTCCCCATGTCTGCATGGTTTTTCTCTGGGTACTCCAGTCTCCTTCCACATCCCAGGATGTGCACGTTAGGTTAATTGTGTGTCTAAATGATCCCAGTCTGAGTGAGTGTGGGTGTGTGTGAGTGCACCCGGCATCCTGTCCAGTGTGGGTTCCTGCCTTATGCCCCCAGCTAGGATAAGCTCCCACCACGCACGATCCTGAACTGGAATGAGTGGGGTTGGAAAATAATTACCTTGCTTGTTTTTACTGATTTTTCTTAAATGTATGTATAGCTCACATTTATTTCAAAGCTTAATATAAAAAGTGCTTTGTGTCTTTATTTAGAAGATCAGTGATGTTTTTGTGACTAGAAATACACTGTAGGAACTTAACTTTTGTTTATATCTACTAGTCTATGGTAAAATTGGTTTCGTTATACAATCATGTGTCACTTAATTGGGATACGTTCTGGGAAATGCGTCGTTAGGTGATTTTGTCATTGTTGGAACATCATAGAATATACTTACACAAACATAAATGGTATAGCTTACTCTACACCTAGGCAACATGGTATATAACCTACAGCTCCTAGGCTGCAAGCTTCTACAGCATGTTACTGTACTGAATACTTAGGCAATTGTAAAACAATGGCATTTGTATATATAAACATCTAAACAAAAAGTACAGTAAAGATATGGTATAAAAGATAAAAAAAAAAAAGTGGCATACCTCTATAGGGCACTGACCATGAATGGAGACTGCAGGACTGGAAGTTGCTCTGGGTGAGTCAACCAGTGGTGAGTGACTATGAATGTGAAGGCCGAGGGCCTCACTGTATGTAGTATAGCCTTACAAACACTGTACACTTAGGCTACACTAAATTTTTTTAAAAAATGTTTATTTCTTCAATAATAAATTAACCTTAGCTTATTGAAACTTTTTTACCTTATAAAACTTTTAATTTTTTTAACTTTTCAATTCTTTTGTGATAACACTTAGCTTAAAATACAAACACATTGTACAGCTGTACAAAAAAAGTATTTTCTCTATATCCTTACACAACTTGCCACACACATTTGTTTACACCAGCATCACCACAAACATGTAACACACTGAGTTCAGATGTTATGATGGCTACGACATCACTAGGTGATAGGAATTTATCAGCTCTGTTATAACCTTGGGGACTGTCACTGTACTTAAAGTATTATTGACCAAAACATCGTTATGTGACGCATGACTATACATCGTTTTACCTAATGTCTGATTCCAAAAAACAGCGATTGCGTTGTTAGGATTTAGTGTACTTTTGGTTAATTCTATTGGTCATACCAATCAGCCCTGGTATGTTGTGTGAACACCAGGACACAGGGGGCCATCTCGGAGCACACTGCTTCATCCTATGTAGCATAATTACTTGGTAGCTTTCACAATAATCAGTTTTTCCAAAAGGTCAAAAAATATGGAGTCGTTTTTTTAATCTATGGTATATAAGCTTAAAAAATCTTGACGGGACATACAGGAAACCATAATGTTAGTCATGTTTATTTCTAAGTAGAGATTATAGGAGACGTTTTTTGTGTTATTTTATAAAGTTCTGGAACAGCACTTCTTTTACAATTTATAATCAATTTATTTTTTAATGTGGGATATTCCAGAGACAAAAAAAGTTAATGGTTGAGACAACTTAATATTTATTTTCAAGTATATATTAAGTATCTACTAGATATTTGTAGAGGGAATAAAAAGAATACAATCCTTGCTGTTAAAGAATTATGTATTTGGAAAAACAAAACCATAGCTATTTATAAAAAAATGTAATAAATTCTACAGAAGAGGTATAATGGAGCATTAAATAAAGGGAAATACACAGGAGTCAAGTTAACTGACTCTTAAGACAGAGCATGGAAAAGGAAAAAAGGGAGTGACTAGAACAAAGTTAACAGCCTTTTATTCCATACTCGGCGTTTGAACTTGGTATCATAGTGCATGAGTACACCATTACAGGTTTATAAGCAGAAAATGAAATGACCAGATATATAAAAGAAACTCACCTATTTTTTAAAAATATTTTAATTTTTAAAAATATTGGTCTACCTGGAACTTTATGTTACAATTCAATGCAAGGCAAAATTATATAAATCTTAAATATTAGTAAACATTAACATATACCTATCAAAAAGCACTTTAAAGCCTTAAAGAGCTTTGAATCATCTTTAAAATGTTTTAATTTTTAGAAATACAACAGAAGAATCTTACTCATAAGGCTTTAAAGAGTTTCATTGAATTGTGAAATATTCATGGTGTGATTGAGATGGATTGAAGAGGCAGAATCTATAGTCATATGACTGTTTTTCAACAAATGATGTCATTTTCATAAATGATGTCATCTAGGAAGAAAAGAAATTATTGAGTGTCTTACAGTATACATTTTTACCTAGTCCTCAGTTGATACAGTATAAAATGGCACATTCCAAAAATTATATGCAGAGAGCAATCCTTTTCTACTCCTGTGTGTCCATATATTCCCATGGACACCAGCAATTAAAGTGTTTACTGCCTTGAGCTCAATCAAGGTCTAGCATGATTTTAATATGATTCTTTTATTGTCCTGTAAGGTTGTGGCATAACTGATTTTACGTAGAACAGGTAGTTCTCATTTCTTAACTAGTTGCTTGGCTCTTTCTCTTCCACGTTGAGTATAGTATCCACAGTTATTCCTATGTCCTGCAATGACCGGCCTCCCTCCACTTCCAGAGGCCTTCTGGGAAAGGAAGTAGAAAGGCTGTATAGGGATGTGTGGTACCCAATTTTCATCATCCAGTCAAACAGGACCTAAAATTTAAAAAAAACATAGTTATCAAATACTATACACTCTTATGTCCCTCAGGATCACCATGACATTTTACCATTTTACAGAACTTTCCTACCTTTCAAAGGAACTTTCTAGAGTGTAAAGAAAAATAGTATGCCATGGATTTTGAGATATGAATAACCTTTAATACATTTTGCTTAAGGCCTAGGGACTACAGGCACCCACAGACAGCAGAGGCGTTTAACAATTAGGAAAGCCCCAACCATAGGGGATGGAAAGATTATTCAATACAAAGATTGAGAACAAAAGGTTAACATTTGGGAAAAATAATGATTTAGATCATAATCTAAGCCACATCAAAATCACTCAGGAACTTGGTCACAAAGGACATGTGCAGGCCCCAGAGACTCTACCTTATGATAACATGATTTTCAGTGGGTCAGCCCTATGAATTCATAACATTCCCTGTCATGAATATTCTCATAGTAATTGTCCAAATTTTCAATTACTATTGCCTAAAAGCAACACTTTTTGTGTATGCCAAAGAAAGGTCTGTTGCTTTAGGAAGTTGTATGACCTTAGAATAAATACTCATAAATGAAACTAATGGCCCCAAACATGTATTTTTATATATTTTAAAGATATATACTGGTAAATTATTTCATAGGAACACAGGTCCAAGTTACATTCACATGAACGATTAATGAGAACCCCTGTTGTCCCCACACACTGGGCAAAACTGGGTACTATTTTTTTTTTTTTTAATTTAGTTTCAAGTATACGGTACATTGGTTAGACGGCTATATAGTTCATAAAATGATCCCCCCAATTGCACCCTCCCTCCCCTGACCCTCCACCTAGACAACGTATTAATGCTACCTACATTCCCTGTGTCGTGCTCCCCATCCCCGTGACCATCCATCAGCTACTAATTTGTACTTCTTTAGCCCTTCACCCCATTCTCCCAGTCCCCCAAACCCCCTTCCCTTCTGTCCGACACCAAATTGTCCACTATATTTGTGAGTCTGTTTTTGATTAGTTTGTTCTTTTTATTCCTTAGATTCCGCATATAAGTGAAATCATATAGTGTTTATCTTTCTCTGTCTGACTTAAATACCTTCTAGGTCCATCAAAGCAATATCTTTTTTCATCCCTTCCCTTTTCATATGTAGGGGTCTTGTTTTCTTATCCTTTCAGCCACTCTGTCTATTGGTTGGAGCACTTAATTCTTTTCCCTTTAAGGTACTTATTGACAGGAATGTAGTTGTTACTGTTCTTTATTCCTGTTTTTTGATACATGTTTTTTTCTTCTTAAAGAAGTCCCTCCAACATTTCCTGTAATTCTGGGTTGGTGATGATAAATTCCTTTAGCTTATTTTTGTCTGGGAAGCTCTTTATCTGTCCTTCAACTCTAAATGATAGCTTTGCTGGATAAATTATTCTTGGTTGTATATCCTGGGTCTTCATCCTGTCGAATATTTTTTGCCAAGCCCTTCTGTCCTGCAGTTTCTTTTGAGAATTTGACTGTTT